CTCTTCTTGATATTAAGTATAAGTTTTATTTTGCTTCCATTTTCACATAAAACTACGTATTTGCTCACATGTTTGATCCATGGTATCATCAATATGTTTCTGTAGAACAACATTTTTGTTGTTTCAAGTAGCTTCTTTATTTTTGAGGTTATTGTCCAGCTCTCACTGTCATACAAGATGACAATTATCACGTAGCAGTTTAGTAATCTTTTCTAGTAAAGTATTTCTATTTCTTAATAATTTTGCTTAGCTTTTGAAAAGCATCTTTAGCTATCCCAGTGTCCTTCCGGAATTCAGTGTCGTCCTTTTCTTTCCTCTGTTAAAACACTTCCTCGGGATTTAAATTTTTGTTTGATTTGGTGTCTTCGATTTGCAATTCGCATTTTGCGATCATCCCTTTGCAAACAGCCATGCAGTTGAGCTTTAATCCGTTCTACTGGCTTTACGACCTTTCACGACCTTCTGTAGGAGTTTTTATAGTTTTCTTTCCGTATCTACGATCTACACTGCATGATCGACATATCTTATGTTTCCAATAATAAATCCTGTTAGAATATCTACTTCATTCAGAATTGACTCTCTGTATAGGTTGAATAAGTTCATTAAGAAGAAACGTGGCCAGGTAATGCGCAGTGGCGGACATGCATCATCTTGCGATTACAACCTCTACGCAACAGATCACAGAATAGTGGGCATCACTTCGAGAGACAATGTATATAGCTGCAAAAGAAACTATCGGATACGTGAAAATACGCCAGCAATACTGGTTTTGCAGCAAAAACTGAATATGAATCTCACCCATTAACTCAACGACTGAAAACCAAATACCTCCATCTCAAGTATCAATGTCAAAGCAGCTCTACTGGTGATAAAATGTCTACAACCAAAAGCCGAGATATGATATAATTCTTCTCAGGAATTATAGAGGTTTTCGGTCTCGTCCTGAAAGCAGCTAACAACATCACCGAAGTCACCGGAACTCAAGGCATTCTAGCAAGATTGCAAGAACATTTCTCTACTTTTCTCAATCGTCACCCCACTGCTGCGTCAAACTGCCTCAGACGTATCGCATGAACCCGGTGTGACAATGGACGGCTATCAACTCAACCTAACATGATTTCGAAGCTGCGCTCAAGGACATCCGATCTTTTAGAGTCCTGGTACCTGATAAAAAAGCCAGAAACTGATAAAGCATGTGCATTACCTCTCAAAACAAGAATCTTCCTCATCCTCTTCCTCTTCCTAAGGATCTGGGAAAAAGAAAAGGTTCTCTACATTGTGGCAACTACAATGACACCACTCTCCTGTTTATTATGAAGACGATCCTCGCCTGGATCCTTCTCAATTACCTCTCGAACTTTTCAGAGGATATACTCCTTGCAAATCAATGTGGTTTCAGGGACAACAAAGGAAACATCGATATGATTTTCTCAGTGAAACAAATCCAGGAAAAGTACAGAGAGCAGCAAAAACTTCTGGAAATGATGTTTTACGATCTTGAAAAAGCGTTTGGCAGTGTTCTAAGCCCAGTCATGTGGCAAGTCCTCAGACGCTATCAATGTCCCGGGAAATTCACGATCTTCCGAACTCCACACGAGGCAATGTGGGGTCGTGTCCAACAGCAAACCGGGTTTTTGAACACATTTCCCATGACAATGGGATTGAAACAAGAGTGTGTACTTGCTCCTACACTCTTCTGCATCTACTTGGCGGTAATAATTCAGGAGATTCCAAACGATGGCGGCCTCTTCAACATAGCTTGCCTCTAGTCCAGGACTCGAACAACAAACGAATCACAAAACTGCAATACGCCAATGATAACTGCGCTCTGGCTGATGAACTCGAATACCTCAAGAAATCAGCTGACAACTTCTCCAGAGCGTACATGCGCTACGGACTCACCATTAACTTGGCAAAGACCTGTCCCAACCACGACCAGAACATCAGACATCAGTAAACTTGAAAGATTGGATCATATGAAATTTCGTCAATCCATGTGGAACACGTGGCAAGACTGGTTCACAAACAACAATTCTCCTCCGCGCAAATATGGAGTGCCAAGAAACCATTATGACTCACCACCGACTTCGATGAGTCGGACACCTTGTCCGAATGACAGACATCCACTTACCCCAAAAATCCCCTTCTCAGAGCTCGCATATGGTAAGAGACACTGTGGGAGAACCACGTCGTCGATTCAAGGATCAGCTCAAAACACCTTGCTGAGGACAGAAATCGAACTGGTAATTTAGGAGACGAAAGCTGCAGAAATAACCAATAGGAGAAGGGCAGTTTACAAAAACACAACATCCCTCGAACATCAGAAGACAAATAGAAGAGACGAAGTGAAACCCAGGCCCCCAAAAAGCTAGATCTCTCCATCACCTGAACCCTTCTACCCTAACGTACGGTGGCTGCGGGAATCTTTTTACATACAACATACAGGTGGAAATGTCGATGACCACCCCAAAACTCGGCAACGACTTCCGCCAACGACGATAAATTTTTAAAGTCTATTAAAAAAACATCATAAGAACGGTGATTAAGTTTAAAAGAGAGGGAACAGTAGAGAGGAGAGCTAGATCAGGCGGTCAAAACAGGAAAAGGGATCATCATTTCAACTTAGAACTAAAGAGATCAATTAGAAAAGATCCAACTCAATCCATAAGACGTTTGGCACGTGAGAGCGGAGTTTCAGCTATGACAATAAAAAAAATTACTTGAAATTGTACGTTAAACGTGTGAGGCGAATTGTTAACCCAGGACAGAAAGTTAGAAGGTTAGAGAGGTTAGAAGGTTAGAGATCATCTTGAATAAGTTGGAAAATGATCCTGGAATAATGTATAACATATCTGAAATTTATTTCAATACTTCATGAGCTTCCGATCCTTAGCTATGATTGATTAATGATGATGACCGATTTCATCACGATTCTTAATCTTGGAGAGTAATTATACATTCTTATTGCGCAGTAGTGTTATAAAACCTCGGAGAATTCCAGTAAGATAGATTTAATCATTTCTAAGATCCAACGGTTCAAATGTTTATCTAAAAAATGTACAATTTTACTTTTACACGATCTGGGCAATTTTGCTCTTACATCCGGTATATATAAATCTCGTTTAAGTGCCAAATATAGTATTTAAATGAACTGAAATAGCTCAGCTATATATTAATCATAGAGGATTCGTAAATCTTGACACTCTCAGTTTGTGTACAGTTTTTTTTTATTAAAACGTTTTTATGGTTATATATATTACAAAGAATTAATCATACCTTGAATCAATTAGCAGTATTAATGCAATTATTGGCGAAATCCCTTCGCTAGTAGAATATTAATATAATATATTGCTAATTGATTCAAGGTATGATTAATTCTTCCTAATATAAAATATATATTGCCTATTTTATTATGTTTATATATATATATATATATATATATATATATATATATTACAATAAACGTGCAATCAATTTACAAATACATGAATTATTCACACAAAACTAATGCAAAGGTTAATGATTTTAAATGGCGAGACATCCATCTCGCAAACAATTCAAATATTACACAAAAACCTTAGATCCGTTATGAATGAATTGATCCTTGTTCATATAAATTTCTGCCGCACGTTTATTGTAATTTAAATAAGTGATCCATGTGCGACTTTTGGTTAATAAGTGCGACATTACTGTAATTATTGAACAATATAGTTCATGCCACTTTGACAGTAAAATTTACCAGTAAAATAATTTGTTCATTACCATATTTGGTATAAACGCAAACATTTTAAAAAAAAAAAAAATTCAAAAATCAAACTTAGCGTTGCTTTGGCGCGTTCAAAACCAATATCTCATTTTTTCAATAGCATTTCGGATACAATACACATATATTTTCGATGTCCTCTTATTACTAAGAGAAAAAAAACACGAACAACATCTATTATATACCTGAAGATGTCTGTATGAACAGACGAAAGCTTGTGTAAAAATAACAACTAATACGGCAGAAATTTATATGAACAAGGATCAATTCATTCATAACGGATCTAAGGTTTTTGTGTAATATTTGAATTGTTTGCGAGATGGATGTCTCGCCATTTAAAATCATTAACCTTTGCATTAGTTTTTGTGAATAATTCATATATATATATATATATATATATATATATATATATATATATACACAAATTGAGTGACCCCCAACATTAAATACACCAGTAAATGGAATGTTTTCGTTCTCTACGAGGTCTACTAGACATGTACTCAGCCGAATGAGGTAAAGAAGTGGTGTAGCTGTGGCAGCGTAGCTCTAATAGTTATTAGATGTGGACAGCATCTCTTACCATTTGATCTCAAAATGTTTGTTGGACCTAGAAAGAAATGTATACTCTATATCCGAAGTGTCAACAATTCTAAGTTTGTCTTGGACTACAGCAGCAAGTGTATACAAAGATTATGTGATTTCTATATTATTGTTTATGAAGAAGGACTTAATCGTGGAATAATGATTAGAAATATGAAATACAAACTTTTATTATTGTAATGAAACCGAGCTCGACATATTTCACCTTGTGCCAAACTAAGCTATGCTTAATGAATGCGATAAAACGACTATTTAATAATAAGCATAACAGAAAACGAGAGATCATATATTATATATATATATATATATATATATATATATATATAGAGAGAGAGAGAGAGAGAGGGAGAGAGAGGGAGAGAGAGGAAGAGACATGAAGAAGAGGTATTTTTACTGATGACAAAATATTTGGGTCCACACACAAGTATAGTCTTCATCGGACGCTCGAATGCGCACACACGTTCGCCCCTCCCGGACACATCCCCACGCATTTACCCACTAACTCATTGGCTCTTGTATATGAGACACGTGATTAAGATTAAAGGCCATTGTAGAGGCAGGCAAGCGTTTGGCGGGAAAGCATAAAACCATGAAGTAACGACAGTCAATAAAAGAGTGATGCGTGGATGAAAACAATATGGGACTAAAGAGAAGAAGCAGGCTTCAGTGGCGGCAAGCCGCCCTGAACATGGATCAACATGCCAAAGCCACAACGGCCCGTCCCCAGCCAACATCCTATTTTTCAGTTCTTTTTTTTCTTTTTTTAATTCTTCCATTTAGCCCCCCGCCCTCCACCAATTCCCTATTATTTTCGCGAAATCTTATCTCCCCTTTAGCGCCGTCTCCCACATTTCAGCGCTCTTCCCACAGAAACCCTTATCTTTCTTCTTATTCTCTCTTATTTTGTTTTCACTTAACTCTTTCCCATTACCGACTCTCTCTGTTTTTAGCAAATATTCGTTCTTTTTTTTCTTTCTTTACTTTTAACAACTTCTCCCTCAATAATATTTGTTATATCTTACTCTCTCACTCTCTCTTTATTATTTGTTCCTCTCTCTTTACTATTAATTTTACTCTCTCTCTCCCTCTCTATCTCTGATATTTCTTTTCTCTCATACTGTATTTATTTTTCTCTCTTACTCTATTTCTTTCCCTCGAACTATCTCTTTATTAGTTCTTTCTTTTTCACACACTCTATTCTATTTCTCTCTCTCTCTCTCTCACTCTTTATTTATTCTTTTTTTTCACTATTTATTTATATATTTATTTATTTTTCCCTTTCAACCTCTTAAATAGTTCTTTTTCTCTCACTTTTTAATTATTATTTTCTCTTTCATTATTATTTACTTTCTATCACTCTCTCGCTGTTATTTCTTTCTCTCTCACTCCGCCTCATTTTTTCTTTCTCTTTCACTCGTTAATATTTTTCATGTTACGTGACTTTATAGTATTTCCTCGAAGTCTAGAACAAGGCCAAATATGCAACTGAATAATCTTGGCTTGAACTTACTACTGTAGACAGGATCTCCGATACAAGTCTGCTAATACTACACAGTGAATTTTCAGTTTCCTTAGATTGATTTAGTCTGGCACAGTGACAAATGTATGGAGCATGTAGTTAAAATTTACCATACTATAATAGAAATGATTGTGATTCAAGCTTGCTAGACAATAGGAGTAAACATTATCTGTAAGAGAGAATACATGTTTATCAGCAAAAGAGACAGCCTAGATTGACTTAGTCTGGCACAAGACTACCTCATGGAGCACACTTTTCTTTTAGAATTGAGCTCATTATAGTAAAAAATCCTTTGTGACTCAAGCTTTCTAGCTAGTTCTACGCGGTGAAGTCCCCATTTACAAAGCTTGTCTTTGTCTCGCCAAAATTACATGCATGAAGTTCACCGTTACAATCGATTTTATTCTTGTAGATATCGTTTGATAGAAAAGATTGTGTTTAATAAATTATATTAAGTACGTAATCTTTTTGCACACGTACGTGTGCGTGGGGCGTGCATATATATATATATATATATATATATATATATATATATATATATATATATAAAAATAAAAATTATGAAATGGAGAAAGTCCGACAATTTTCATAGAAAAATATTCGTCTCCTACAGGATTCGAACCTGTTTCCTATACGGAACCGTCATATAGCCTAACGTGCTTTTACCGATTGTGCCACAGAAGTCAAACTTCCTGCTTTTAAAATTCAATCATCCATGAATCTCTCACGTATTTCCGTAACTGCTCATGGCGTATCAAATGTAAACAAATGACGTCACACATTATGAACTGGACAAAGTCCGACAATTATTTTAAGAAATTTCTATGTTTAACATTCTTTTTATAGATACAAATATTTAAGTAAATGGTCTGTTTATAATAAACAGTATTAAATAACACATTTCTCGGACATTCAGGCCGGTAAATACTATTTAATACTGTTTATTATAAACAGACATTTACTTAAATATTTGTATCTATAAAAGAATGTTAAACATAGAAAAATATATATATATATATATATATATATATATATATATATATATATATATATATACCGTGTTTTTCTTTAATGTGCTTTGTCCCTGCAGGATGTGGGCGATCATTACTCTCCACAACTTCCAATTCTTAGTCTCTGTTCTGCTATCGCTTCACGTAAACTTGTTAGGTTTGTTTTTTTTATATTAGCCACAAAGCGATAGGGTAGAGAGAGAGAGAGAGAGAGAGAGAGAGAGAGAGAGAGAGAGAGAGAGAGAGAGAGAGAGAGAGAGGGTGGGGAAGGAGGGGGACTATAGAAGAAAGGAGACAGTTGAAGATTGACATTGCATTTAAGGTTTTGAGGATCGTAGTTGACAGGTAAGCAAAAGCACGATGTGCAGGATAAGAATGTATGCTTATAACTAGGAATTATAGTGAAATTACGAAGCCAATGTAGGACGGTGTTTAAATTTGTGAAATCGAGGTACCAACAAGCTCATCAGAATAATAAACGTGAAAGTATTTATAGATAAGGCAAAAGAAAGCTTACGTAACATCGGTAGAAAAGTGATTGAAGTCGACATGCCAGGTCAGGACAGATAACGATGCAATTCATTATATGGATTTTGTTAAGAATCTCTAGAAATAAAACAGAAGCATTAGACCAAATGAGGTATCAATATTCGATGCGAGGACGAATGGTAGACTTATAAATGTGCAAGATAGATTCTGGCTATAAAAAAATGTCTTGCATCACACAGTAAAGCGAATTTCCTATCAGTAGATCTATTAATTAATTCAATATCCCATTTCATTTCAGTGGAAAAAGTGAGAAAACGTGAGACCAAGAAGGAGCAACGCGTTGCTTTGCTGGAGGCTAGCATCAGTCTTTTGAAGTCAAAGAAGGTTCTTTGATATGACAGTTTAGAAATTTATTCCTTACTAGCAGCATGGACCGGCGTTGCCCGTGCTTGATTCAAAAATAGTACGACTAATACAGCAATCGCTATCACTTGACTTAAAATATTTTTGCCTTTCCTTGCCTTTAGAGGAGTGCCCTTTGCCGTGCTGACGTTGCTACCTGCTTTACTCCTTGCCTATATCACACTACCAACTTTTTCTAAGCTCTACAGTAAACATTAAACCTGTTACGAAAAAAGAACTAAACAAAATAAACACAATACGATCAGCTTTAAAAAACCGGAAAAAAACATTTTTAAGGGTTGACCGATTGTCGATTTGCACTCTGTTTTGGAGGGGGGGTGCTCAGAGTTGAAACTTCACATGATGACTCCCAATGGCCTCTTCATAAATCTGCTCGGTTTTCGCTAAAAACCAACATGCGGTTCAGACGCAATCTGCGCGTATCGGTTTTTGGGTTTTATCGATTTTCCGCGTTGTTTAGGGGTCCGTGGTCATGAAACTTCTGGACAACACTTCTAATGGTAAACTCTAAGAGGGTGTCAAATTTGGTTGAAATGCGATCATTCCTTCTGTAAGCAGAATTTTTTCGATTATCGATTTTTTCGGAACCTGATTCCGAACTCAAAAATCGGGCTCCGTCATGTTCTTACGGCAGCCATTTGCAAACTTGTATTGAAAACTGCATCGAAATTGGGTGAGAAATGCGGCCTGGGCGTGGTAACAACGCCCATGACAGAAAACAGGAGAAATATAGATAGTAGATTTTGAATGAATTTTTTTCTGTTTCTTTGTTTGCTTTTGAAAGGCACATTTCCTTATTGTAATATACCTTCGGATTTCGGTCTGACATTTTCAGTCCTCTGTAGAAACACTTACCACATATTCAAATTTTCATATTTTCTTGAGTTTGCTATCTCCAATTTATAGTTCGCATTTAGCTGATCAAAGTCGTATCGCAGCATTTTACCACATTTTATTTGTTTTTTTTTTACTGCACATTCCTGTTGGCGTCGACGTTATAGTGATTTTCTAAGCATAACTTAGATGTGGCACAAGGAAGAACGTATGGGGCACCCAGTGAGAATCAAACTCACTTTTCAGTCGTAATTGATATAGCGAAGTGCCCCTGCCTGGGGAAATAAAGAGGCGTAGAGAAGTAAGCACACCAGAATAAAATTTCTTAATGCTATCTATGTAACATTTAAGCGGAAATCTTGGCCTTGTATGTTCATTAAATTAAGCGTGATACAAGCTTTTCTTCTTGAGTTCAAGTTTCGTCGTGAGTTCAATTTCTAGGTCAGGTAGTGCAGATGTAGATTGAGCAGGAACGGGGTGAGGAGATACTGAGCAGTACTAAATAAAATCTAGACCAGACATTATTAGACCTAGACAGCGAAACGAGAAGAATTTCGCCCGTATATTAAATAAAGTGTTCAGTCCAAAATTCCTTGTCCCGTATATTGAACAAAGGGCTTAGCTGTAAATTCCTTGAACTTTATTCTGATCTCGAAACACCAGGCGAAAGTTGTACAGTACAGAAGCCGTAACGCTGTGATTATAAGGGGAAATATGAATACGATTGTTCGAATGCAAATTTTAGAGTTTAACGAATTTACAGTCGTAACAGATGTGGAGATGAGCTTTTTGTTAATTATGATCTTATTTAGCGGAATTCATGCTTTCCGTCATTTTACGTAGTTTGCAGAGTAAAGACATCGTTTAGGAACTCTACGGAGGACAAACACTTATTTTTTTTTTGCACTCGTGACTGCTTGAAAAATGAATGAACCAAACACTATTGATAAACAGATGACAAGAAAGAACGTTGGAGGAAGAAGACAAGCAAAGAAAATATGTTTGTAAATTTTTCTTATGATATCCAATAAGAAAGATTCTTTTTTAAAAAAAAAAATTAGTTGGAAGCAAAGAAAATGGTATTTTGACAGTGAATCAAACGTCTTCTTTAGCGTCTAATTATTTCTAAGGTGTAATTCGCTGCTTCAGGGCCTGAAGAAACTAATTTAATTATGTTTTCTTAAACCCTGCTATGTATTTGGCTGAGCTGCTTAGTTGGTTGGGTTCCTAGGTCAATACGGATGGCCCCAATTATTTTGGTGCCATCGGCAGATAGAAGCCATATTGTGAGAGATCATGGGGCCTATCCTGAGGTGCGCAACATTATAAGCGACAGAATCGGCGATTAGATAGATAGCAGTAGCAATAGTTTGACTATTGTTTTTTCTTTATTTATTTCCATCTTCATGATAGAGACTTCGGAACTTTCCATTCTACGAATTTTTAATTAACTAAGCCAGTTCTAAGAAATTGCATTTAGGATATTTATGAGAAAGCATACTTGTTATTCATTTCAACTTTATACAGTTAACAGCATCCGTTAGACTTTTTTCCTGACTCTTATATTGTTTTCGTTGAATTGAGAAAAATGAAAATCAAATTGTCGTTGTGACTTGTAAGTAAGGTATCAGGTAAAGCGCACATAGTGATAATGTTTTTCCCATTCTTTACTTTGTAGTTTCTTTGGAGATTTCTTTCTTTTTTCTTTTTTTTTCAAGACTTCAGCATTGTGGTATGATACATCTCAACCAATAATGGGTCTGTCCTGAATACTTATCGGGTGTAACAGCAAAATTGTCGAAATCGTGTAACAGCATAACTGTC